GATGATTTTTCTCTGTAACTTTTTTATAACCGGAACGATGGTTACGGTTATTTTAAAAATAACACTTCCCCAAGTCTAGTCGCCTTTTAAGGCACTCACGGAATGATATGGATATTTATACATGGCTACTGAACAGTAATTGATAATTTCTCAAAACATTTTATTTATCGACAACATAGTCTTGTAGTTTTTTAGACTAGGTAGAATTCATTAACGCGAACGGCCTTGGAGATCAAAAAGACGAAATCGCGCTCTTCCTGCGTTAACAAGATGTAGACGTCATGCTGGTGCAAGAGACTGAAGCCTAGCCATCGCGACCCTAAGATCGCAAATTACACCATAGTTAGAAATGATAGGTTGACCAGCCCTAGATGCAACTTGATCTACTACAAAAGGTCCTTGCACTGCGTACCGATCGACGCCCCTTCGTTAACCAACATATAAGTTTCTCTAGCGCTCACTTGACCTTCATACAAACAATTCGATATTTTAATTATTGATACATTTTTTTACTCGACACGGGCGACCTTCTAGCGTGTGCCACACACATGATGCGAGGCTCTAAAGAATAATAGGGAAGCATTTGCTTGATGTTTACTTTGATGTACCGAAAGCTTTTGACTGGGACTGGGTGTGACACTTTTAAGCAAGCTTTCAGTGTACTGCTTGTCCTTCTTTACGTCATTTCGGGTGAAGGGTCTCTCAGACTCGTCGAAGGCGGCTCTTCCGAGTTTAGTACAACTAATGCCGGAGTTCTTCAGAGTTCCTTTCTCTACGGTACTCTTCCTGCTGCATATCAATGACTTGCTTATGCCCAGTATTTATGGGTACGCAGATATCAGCATATTTGTGGAAAGATGTGTGGTGCATGGCAGCATATAACCGACTATTTTGTTGTGTATCTGTATCTTACAATAACTAAAATTTTAAAACCCCGATACAAAGAGAGCTGATGATCTACAAACGGTTGAACAGATTTTCTTGAAACAGGTAAGAACACACGATTAAGGCACTTTCTAAACAAAACAAAAGTAATCAAAATCGGTTCAGGAGCTATGATGTCACAGACAGACACAAACAGATACACACAGGGTGAATGGCGGGAAGATCGAACGGATTTTTAATGAGATGAGCAGTGTTGTGTTTGACGTCTTGTAGAACAGTACATACTTATTAACTTAAGCTAAAATTATATCTATAGTGAATAAAGTAAAATAGCATATTTTTATGTCATATCGATAAATCCCTGTTATAATTTATTCAAAAGCAAAAAAAAAATTAATTACAATGTTTTTATTGAAAGAAAAAAACAGGAGGAAAGATGAAAGGGTGGTGGGGAAAGATCGAAGTAGTTTCAAAAATCGTTCAAATTAATGTCATACGATATTGACAGTCAGTAGGCTACAATTCATACATAGCAAAACTTCTAAAAAATTATTATCTAAACTTTAATAAAAATTTGTAGTAGATCCACGTCTACAGTTCACTGTAACACATAAATGAGGAGGGTCGACCGGTGCGATACTACCCTCTGACAGAAAATCAGCGTGAAGTGTTTAGCTTCTTAGTGGCTGCCATGTTTCGTCTGGTGAGTGAGAGTTCCGGATGCCCGTTCCTTTTCCCCTTTTCTTAAGGCACCCGAATGTTGACGTTTGCTAGATAAACCGATGTGACGTTGCATTGTTCTAGGAGCTGTCATGTTGCATTTACTAACGAGTGTCTGGTGGTCTTTCCCCTTTCTTTAAGTTCCTACTCCCATTCCTACGAATCCTGTTCCTATACCTTATGACAAGGCAACGCACAAGTAACACTCCTGTTGTTTCTTGTGTCTATGGGCGCGGTGAAATCACTTAGCCATCAGGTGACCCGCTTGCTCTTTTTGCCTCTCTTATAATATACAAAAATTAAAATAAATACCTTTAGATAATATTAGCTGAAATTGTGCCGCTGACATTTTACATAATGGTTGTAACAAACGAAAAAATTTTTTCAAGTACAGTTTGAGAACATGAGACCATTTGTATGACTTTTGAAAACGGGGCAACATGGAAACTTTTATGTTTATCTTACCTTAGTTATGTTGCTATGTCTAAAAGTAGCGATATTTAGACATAGCAACATAACTACCAATTAAAAATAATAAGTATGTATACAAATAAAAAACTCGTACCTACCTCTTAAATCAAGTTACACGACACGGGATAAGTTTTAAACACCCGACTTGCTCGCGTAAAATTCACAGCGTAGATATTCTCTTATGACACACAACCGACCCCTCAAAACGACAAGTGCCGACTTAGGCAGACTTAGGTGTGGTGCGTAAGCATCATATTAGTCTGTGGTGGTACGTAACAAAATGGCGGTCTTATGAATGTTGCCTGCATTGGATAAATTACACAAAATCTGTCTTTACTGATGCCTTTTTGTCTTACCCCGTTTTTCATCTTCCCCCCACTCACCCTACAGTTTTCGTCGGGGGTTAAAAATAATGAACTTACTAATAATTGTAAGATAGTCTCCTCCTGTTAAAAGGCTTTGCCTTGCTGCACTTGATTGACAATCGTAGTACCAGACGTCTTATTACTACTGTTATATTATTTTCTGTGCTAGTACCAATGATGCTGCTTCGTCGCCAGTCAAGATATTATCTTACATCTAGTGTAAACAAGATGGTTACACCGCCATCTGTCGGAAGCTACAAGAGCTAGCATTTCTCTTATGGCGCGTCTCCACCAGTTTTGTTGCCAACACGTGTTGCCAACAAATGTTTCAGTCAACAAGCGTCTCCACCGAGGAACAAATGTTGGCAATAAGCGTATTCCTTTGATGTTGCCGCCGAAAATCGAAACAAGTTTTGTTGGCAAATGTTGTGTTGACAACAAAACTTTGGTGGAGACGCGGCTTTATATGTGCACAGAACACAATATTAGACATGTGTGATGCGATTCTCTTACAGGGCCACTAAGGTTATATATTTTAGTAATACCAATTAGTTGTGCTATAATCTGTTTACCTTAGTGTCTTTACACTACATCTTAGCCTCCCCTCCAATTTTATTGTGTTACATCAGGCATGGTCATGAGTATCTCTGTTCACATGTTCAATTATGGCATTTTAATATCTTTTCTGATTATTACGAATTTGATACTATAATAAAGAATCAACTACGAGATCATCAACTGTTAGCTCCATAATATCCAGACCCGGTGATAGAGAATAGAGGGAGTCTGGTGATGATTTTATCATATTCTCTCAATTAGACAGAGTTATTGTCTAACAATATATTTATACAGGTCCAGAAATCTAAATAACTATTATATAGATTTCTTACAGGATTATGAGCGGATTAGAAACAAAAATCTAGCAGGTAGGGGATTGTTAATGATACCAAAAAAAAAATCTGATATATTTGAGCATCATTTTCTTATTTTACACATAATAGGTATAAAAACTTCAGAAACTCACTGTCAAAAGAACCTATTTAATACAATTTTCATAAAATCTGTCAACTAAAATAAATTATTTATTAGCATAGCAATTAAATGAATACTGATAAAACATTATAAAAGAAGAACAAATCCAGACAAATGGTTGAAGTTATTATAAAACCATTATGAAACTGCCATATTAACTTTAATAATAGTGAAATTGGAACTGTAATAATATGTTTAAATGAAAACATTGGAAATCATTAAACATTATATAATCAATTGGTTTTGTGGCCTTTGAAACTATTTCTCCTTTTTACTGTTGAAACTTCTGTAAATGTTAAAATATAATGGACTTTATGTCAACTATCACTGATATTGTTCCAAAACAGTCTAATTTATCATTTAAAATTAGATCACCTATTTAGTACATATATAGGATACTTTAAAAAAGTAAGAATTTTTTTTCTTCATATTTTTTTACAGGTTTTTCTTGCATCATTTTAAGTAATTATATAGTTGGGGTGTGTGTATAACACAATGTTTTTTAAGCTAAACTTTATTACTAAAACTTTATTATTAAAAGACCTATTTGATAATATTTCACCTTAATATAATTTTTGCATAGTAAAGTATATAAAATAATATATAAAGTATTTTCTTACATTAAAAATGTAAAGGTATCTTTAAATAGTAAAAACTATAAGTTATGATGGTGTAATAGCTTACGACAGGCGGAAATAACAAAATTATTAAGTTCATTATGTTCTCTGACAGCAGAATTATAAAAAGGATTTATTATTATAATCAGTCTATGTGTTGTACAAACTTACTGCCTACTATATTAATCATAATTTGTTCATCATCATTCTGTTTACAAGTCTATAACAACATTTATCATTTTTAAATTTGCCTTTAAAATGTATAGCTTTAATTTTAGAGGGAAATTTAAGTTACAATTTTATTTCAATGCTTATAAAATGTAACTTATAGGTAAGACATACAGCCTTCAATATATATTATTATTACAAATTTAAGAAACAGTATGTCAAAATATAATTTACTGCATTATGTATTATTGTCTAACAATATAATTATTGAATAATCCAAAAGATTTGAAATACTTGCAACACTAATTTATGCATTATTGTATAGTCAAGCAAACATTACACTCTTTGTATATTGATAGATTTAACAATCCATATCTCATAATATTAATAATTAAAAGTCAAAATATAATTGACAATATAGACTTATATTTAATATTAAAATATAATACATTTGGACACTTTTAATGTAATTTAGTTTCACTTAATTAATAGTAAAATTATCATAATTTATGTAGATATTGCTAAGAATAAGACATGATAAAATTATAGTAAAACAAGTGTGTGCAATTATGATATAAAAACATATCATTTTACTTTGCTTAGAACTAAGCTTAAACTAAAATTTGTATCTCACCCTATGTAAGATTTAATAAATCAATATTCTTCCAAATATTTTTGGATCGCCAACTAATACAATATACAAATATTACAGATATGTAAGAAATATTCGAGAATGAACATATTACACTACATTAGTTAACCCAATCATATCATACTTCCTGTTCTTCTGACATATCACAGGATAACAAATGGAAAAATAATATAATCCAACAACTGCTAAAATAAAAGAGACTACTAATGTGACTATACCCCAAGCTGATAATCCTAAGCCTCTTCTTGTGGAACTTTGACCAGGTATACCAGTTGAAGCTCCAGCGTATGTTTTAGGCGGGGGATCATTATAGCCTTTACTGCCATACCTTTCGCCGTGGTATCCCCTATTACCGTACCCTCTTAATCCGTCACACGGCAATATTAAATTTAGAACTATAAAATAAATGCAAGACAAAGAATTAAATACTTAAGTTTATAAAATTAAAAGTTCATCTAATAAATATTCTACTTACCAAGAATAGCAAGGCTCAAACGAATAAAAGCTCTAATCATTTTTGTAAATGAAATAAAAACTTCCTATGCTCTCTTTAGTAATTGTTTAATCCTTGTTCGTATGTTATTGGTCGTTAATTAGCAATTATTTTCACAACTGCTGTAAGCTTTCAATAATTTTACTTCCTAAGCTCTCGTTAGAGATTAGTATATTCCTTGTTGCTATGATATCGATGGTTCATTATCAGATTCTTTTCACAACTGTTGTAAGATTTATATTTTTATGGGTACAAATAGGTATAATACAAATAAAGCTAAACTGTCACATGCCATTATAGCATAGATTACTATATATTTCAGTATATAGAAAGTACTCTGTGACTATATAGTATATACTTGGTATATGGGTTTTTGGCGGGAACTTGACCGGTGATGGATTGCTGCTACTGTATTATTGTTTAAATAATGGTTTGAAGTGGATTTTAATATGTAAAAGTGGTGTGATTTTGTGTAATAAATGTCTGCGCATGTGAATTATTAATGGAAATGGTGAAACAAGTGCTCTGAAACTGATGTGATTCTCAAGATATGGTATCTGTCTGCTTAGGCGCCTTGAGATACCATCGCCAACTTTCAGCTGTCTGCTGGCTCAAGTTGCGCTCAAAATCTCGCAAGGGCTGCACAATGTGACGCATCAACATATTGTGAAGCACTATACTATGAATGATAATAATTATACATTATAACTTCAGGCTCAGAAGGGCTAGAACCCAGAGCCGTAAAGCCAGTTATTAAAAAAAATACTTGGTATTACCATGAAGTTATAGATAAAGATGGAGGCCACACTTGGAACAACCATGAAGTTATAGATAAAGATGGCGGCCACACTTAGAACAACAGCTTGAGTCAAATACCTATGTATCTTTATCTCACTCTCTGTAGTCTGACCGTAGATAGAGAATTGACTAGATAAAGCATTCGCGTATGCTTTTGAGATAGAAATAGGCGGGAGGTACTTTCACTGCGTTACCAGATATTGTTCCATTTCCCCCGTTATGGGTTTATTTATATTCACAGCACTTACATTCATACAAAAAACTTAATTGTTACCATAAAAAAATGTTCTTTTATAATTCAGATGATTAATTCATTTCTCTTAAAAATACATTCTGTGACTAAAAACTACGGGCGGAAACGGCGTAAAAACAGAATCATCATTCTGATTTCGACGGCACTAAATGAAGACGCTACTAGCACAAAGTGTGATATTGCTAATAAATAACAATATGTTATGTATGTACTTAAATATTAATTAAGAATAAAAATATTAAATAATAAACAAAAATTTCCTCGTGTCGAGTTTTGTTTTGACAAAAAAAAATCAATAATATTTTAACATACTATTCCATCACAAGTTCAGTGCTGAACACAGATCTCCGAAAGGAAAGGCTTTCAACTCTGGTTTTGTAGTGCAAAACACGGTTATAAGGCTACTCCCGCGATTTCCTGCATGTTTTGCTAAGTTAGTGTCTTGTGTGCGGCAAGTTGTGGCGTACAAGAGAATTTGTACTCCACAACTTGCCGCACACAAGAAATGATATTACCCCGCGTCGTAAGCAATAATACAAGATGGGGATGGGGCAGTAGCACTTTCCCGATGAAAACTTAAAATAATAAATAACTGCGGTGACCAACCACCATAACGCATATTTTCACGCAGGCCTGGCAACTATGGTAAAAGTCATCCTATGAGGATATCTAGGGAAGGTCTTTTTTAGGTGGGTGGGTAGGTACTTACTTATGGTTAGGTGGCTTAATCATGTTACCTAATGGTTAAGGTGGTAAAATGTTTTAGTTAATATATGTTGTAAAGCATCAACAAGGGTTTGTTTTTGAAATATGTTGGTATATAAAATAAAAACGAATGTTTTATAATATTCTATTTTAATTTACCATGCAGTGTAAGATTATCTGCTACCTCATATCATTCCATGGGTGGTGTATGAGGCGACATAGGGAAACATCAAAGAAGATAAACAGCAGCATTTTCCTGATAACAGCTAAATAAATAAAAACAGTGGTTGACAACCCGCTTTCCAAGCGTTGAAACTATGCCAAATAACTATAATCATGTTTATGTTCAACAGTGGACTTTTGATAGACTGTAAAGATATATATTCTATTCAAATGAAAATATATAGAAATATAAAAAGGAAAAAGAACTAAATTTTGTGTACTTACACAACATTTAGAAATATTAACAACAAGCTGTTCCCCGCGACTTCGCCCGCGTGGAGTATTTTTTCGCGGAACTCTAAAATAAAAGCAGCCCAAGTTACTCCTTATAACATCAGCTATCTGCCAGTGTACAAATATTGACATTAATATTTATACGATACTACCTTCTCGGAACCCCTCCACTAACACTTAAACTTTATGGTATGGTATTAAAGTTCAAATTGACTTTTAAGTATTATTACCAATCTTTTGTATGGGAATATAGAAGTGTTGTTTTTAGACTTTTTTATGCAATTTTTAAATTTTTCTCTTCGTAAGAACCATCTTCGTACTTCAAGGAATATTATAAAAAAAGAATTAGCGAAATCGGTTCAGCTGCTCTCGAGATTTGCGCTTAGCAACACATTCAGCTATTCATTTTTATATTATAGATGTTACATTAAGTAAAACAAACGAAAACACAATTATATATTAAATATAATTCAATAAAATTAAAATAAATAAACGATTATTTATTAATCTTTCAAAACATTAATAAACAACAAAATTTCTGTCTTCTTTCTAGAGCATTCGTTGTTATTCTTGGTTTGGGCAGCTTTAGAATTTCTCAAAAATATGCATTTATAAACTTGATTTATATTTTGCATGGCAGAAATTCTTGGGTGCTGGTTGTTAGAATCGGATTAGAAAGGAGTATATATATTATATGCCTTGTATAAAATATATTTTAGTGGTATAAATAATAAGGTACAACTCCTAAACTATACCTACTTAGATAGGTAATACCTGTCGCTTGTCAAAACATCTTTATTACATTATTTATGTCAATTAAATGAAAATTATCATAATTACATATTATATTTATTTCTTAATTTATTTGCACATTATTGTTTATAACACCGAAATGAAAATATATTGAAATTTAAAAAGGATAAAGAACTAAATTTTGTGTACTTACACAATATTTAGAAATATTAACAATGTTACATTAAGTAAAACATGAAAACACAATTATATATTAAATATAATTCAGTAACCTTAAAATAAACATACGATTATTTATAAATTTTATATCACATTAATAAACAAATTTAACAAAATTTTTGTCTTCTTTCTAGAGTATTCGTTGTAATTCTTGGTTTGAGTAGCTTTAGAATTTCTCAAAAATATGCATTTATTAAACTTGATTTATACTTTTGCATGGCAGAAATTCTTGGGTGCTGGTTGTTAGAATCAGATTATATATATATATATATATATATATATATATATATATATATATATATATATATATATGTGTGTGTGTGTGTGTGTGTGTGTGTGTGTTATAAACAATAATGTGTAAATAAATTAAGAAATAAATGTAATAATTATGATAATTTCTATTTAATAGTCATAAATAATATAATAAAGATGTTTTTGACAAGAGATAAATATTACCTATCTAAGTATAGTTTAGGAGTTGTACCTTATTATTTATACCATTAAAATATAATATATACAAGGCATTTTAAATAACTATACTTAGATAGGTAATACTTATCTCTTGTCAAAAACATCTTTATTACATTATTTATGACAATCAAATAGAAATTATCATAATTATTACATTTATTCTTAATTTATTTAAAAGGATTAAGGGTGGACTAAATGTCCCATTGGTAGGCATTCCCAGTCACTTTTACAATTATTACTGCATAATAAATTATTCATTTGTATATTTAGGTCAGGATTTCAAATTATTTATTTATTTCTTTTATTTAAATCTTTATTTGCATAAAACATGGTAGTACAGATAAAGTTCCAACATTTGTAAATGAGGATTCATGTTTAATCAATCCATCTATAAGTAAATATTTTGTCATTGTCATGCAACCAAATTATTACAACTCATAATAATACAGAATGTCAGCATTTGAAAATAAAATAAGCAATGCTAGTCAATTTTTAATACATACAGAACAATGTCAAAAATCATAACTACCAACAAGATCAAACTTATATCACTTATGGAGAAACAACAAGATACAACAAGAAATTATAACATTTAAAAAAATATCTTAATTATATTATAAATTACATAAGTTAAGTATATTTAGTCCACCTAAAAAAATGAGGCTCATAATGTTTTGAACATATACTGCTAAGTTTTGTTGGTTACCTATAATTACTACCAGTAGCGATTATCCAACAGTTACGGATAGCTGATTCCTTAGAAAAGCTGTGAAATAATATATTTAAAAGAAATTAATATATAAAATGTACAGTACACTTTTATATCAAGGCATTTAACAAAAAAAAAATCAAGTATGGGTATCTGTGCATAAATACAATACCTATAACAATTAATACAATATCAATTGATTTAATTAAGTAGCAAGTATATGTAAATGTAATGATACAATTACTCATACCAAACATTTAAAAAAATTATGTACATATTAAGCTTTAGATATTGTTAATTAATACATTTACAGCCTAACATAGTTATGTCCTCCACAGCTGAACATAGACCTCCCACACAGTTTGTTTCCAAATAACTGGAGTTGCCAATTCTCCTGCCAAGCTAGGCAACTATCACAAAACCTATAACTTTTGACTTTTGATACTCACTAATTGTAACGGTGAGTATATTATCATCAAATTTTTTCTACATCTTTAATTGAGAATATTATCTTATGTTGTTGTGTTATTGTGTACCTTACGATTAAGACTTATCTATTTATTTATTATTTTATCTATGTTTATATTTATTATTATATTAGTATGACATATTTTTTTTTTTAATAAATATTGTAATGTAATTGTTGTTAATGTATAAT